GTGCCTTCACTGTTGTTATTAGTTACTGCTTTCAGATCAATGACAGTTTATTTAAGTCATTGATTATTAAGTGGCTTTAGGTGCGTTGGTGTTTCGGTGGTAGAATACTCTGCAACTACCCATGTGGTTCGGGGTTCCATCCCCAGTGGACACACTCCTAAGCCAGCCTAAGTAGGTAGCAAGACTGGTAAAGAGGGAGGGTTGGCAACCCCACCCAGTAAAAGTAAGTAATATGTAGCCTGAAGTACAATGTTCCATTCGGAACGTATAGGAATTTTTTTAAATTTAGGGAAAGACAAAACTTAAAGGTTATGGGGTAGTAGGACAGTTGACAATATTTGTTACGAAATAACTAGATTTGCAATACGCAAAACATTGAATTTTAAACCAAGGACTGTAAGTTTTGATATCTTTCCTCTACACTCCTTTTCAGTTAGAAGATATCAGTTGTTGACGAGTCCAAAATCATAGGGAAATAATTTCCCCTTCTTCTCTTGGTGATATAAATAATCTAATGAAAATTTAATACTGACCTCCTTTATTCTTACGTCTAAGTAACAGCATGATAAGGTAAAAGTGACAGGCAGTTGCTAAAAGTTAATGGAAGGTTATTTTATAGACTTTCTTACTTGTGGATTCTTTATTTCTCAATGCTGATTTCGTAACAAATCAAAACTAGTTAGAGACCAGTGACAAACAGGGACACTTGTTCCATCGTAGTTTGGGACTCTTCAATGGTGCGTACCCCATCAAGGATTCAGACTAGAACACTCAGGTTAAACGACCAAACTCGTTGACCATTCAGCCACTTGGGCCGGAGTTCAGTAGTCCGTGAATTGCTAACTTTCATCTGTCCCGACCGATAGCTGCTACCTTGACGTGGTGGTCTGGCTTGTATGTGGCAATGACCCAGCAAGCTATGCTGACTGGAACTAAATTCACTGTAGGTCATACCACGCCAGGAAGATTGTTAGGATAGCAATTAGACCAAAAGCAATTACCGGCATTTTGTAAGAATTTCTTTTTTACACTATTCTGGAGGTCTGTGGGCAAAGTCGTACTGCTGGGGAATAAGTATGTAACAGCATTAAGGTGTTTCCCTCAGATGACCAGCTTGTCAACTATGCTGCCTCTCCACTCTGGACAGAGGCGTTAGAAAAGGTCAACCCCAAAAAATGTACATGCTGACTTATCCTACGATGGTCCGTAAATGGTGGTAAGTTACTATTACGGAACCAAATCAGAAAGCTGCTTTATACAGGCAGTGTGCGACCGGCCTCAGGCACTTGTCCCCTGAGATCTGTGGTCACGCAACACTAACCCTCTTTCTGTTTCAGGCACCCCAAGAACCAGTCAACTTTCACGGTGTGGATAGCCAGGAAGGAACAACCGCCCATTCACTTCTAAGAGCACACGAAGCCCTCCTGAGCATCATTCTCCTTTATCCCTGTCATCCTATCATCTTGTTTTCCTCCTACTGTTAATATTATTTAGCAGGCTAGTGAGTCGTCTTCAATCACTCTGTGAACCCGAACAACGATGGGAGACATAGAAGCACACCTGACAGCCTCTTAAAGTCACGTCGCCAACTTCATATAGGAGCATTCAACGTCAGGACCCTCTGCCAAATCGGACAGCAAACATCACTAGCAAGAACTGTGGCATCTCGAGCCATGGATTTATGTTGTGTTTCGGAGACACGCATACAAGACCCGAGTGTGGTCATTCACTTAACTTCACCCGGCCAACAAGGTGAATCTGCAAAATTCACCTTAATGGTGTCAGGAGACCCCTCAGCTAGTTCGCGAGGACTCGCAGGTGTAGGGATAGCATTGAGTGTTAGGGCAGAAAAATCCCTTCTTGACTGGATCCAAGTAGATAGTCCTATGTGTGCGGTCTGTTTGAACGGGTCCCTTAAAAGAAGGAAAGATGCCGTTACCCACTGTTGTCTTTTCATAGTCTCCGCTTACGCCCCAACAATCTGCAGTTCTGATGAACTAAAGGATGACTTCTACCAGAAACTTTTCAATTCGCTGCAAAAAAACAAAACGTTCAGATATAATTTTTTAGCAGGCGACTTTAGTGCCCAAGTAGGGAACTTGTGCCAGACTGAAAGTTCTTAGGTGGTACGTATGGCGTTCCCTGCGGACGAACCGGTAACGGTGATCGTCTTCTAAAGTTCTGTTCAGATAATCATCTGTTCCTAGTCAGCATCAAATCAACGATGGACTCAGATAGACCACATAACGATAGGGTATTGTTGACTTGGGTGATTAGCTCCTTCTGAAACACGTGCGTAGACCCTGATCACGGTCTCGTTCGCGCACGTTTATGCTTACGTCTAAACAAACTTAAAAATCTTTGGCAGCGAAGCAGTTACATCCCCAACTAGATCGAGACTCTGAGTCCCTATTTAAGGAAGAAATAGCGAAACGAGTATCTGAGGTCAACGTCAGGACCCCTCCTGAGGAAGCCTGGCACAACATACAGTTAGCTATAGACACAGGTGTAAAGGTTGTTAATAACCTGAAACTAAAGTTAGTAAGAGCTACTGGATTTCCACTAACTCATCCGAACTGATTAACACAAGAAGACTGATTCCGGTCAGCTCCGATTATGATGAGGAGCGAAAGCTACTCAAACGCAAACTAGCAAGTAGCCTTCGAAACAACCATGAACAGTGATGGGCGATAAAAGTGAAGGAGAGGAAAAGTGGTGGTAGGTAACACCAGACAACTATTTGGACTTATCAGGGGAACAGGTGGCAAAAGACAAATGATAAGTGAAACAATCTCTCAGAAAAATGGCACCATAATTATCTTTCAGGGTAGACGACTGGAACGTTGGAAAGAACACTTTGTGGAGCAATTTAATTGGCCTACATCCATGCTCAACTTACCCAGCATCCAACACCTCCCCGAATGGGATATAAACACAGACCCCTCGTCCCTAGCTGAGGTTACTAAGGCTGCCACTAATGTAAAATGAGGCAAAGCTGTGGGACCTGACGGAATGACTCCAGAGTTGTTTAAGGATGGCGAAGACAGTTTACTGTCTGTGTTAACTGAGATATTGGGCAGCGTCTGGGAATCAGAGGAAGTCCCGTCGGGTGAATGTAAGTCAGTGATTATCCCTATACATAGGAAAGCAGATAAGTCCCTCTGTGATTATTACAGAGGGAATAGCTTGACTAATATGGTGTCTAAAGTTCTAGGCTCAAAAATAATGCGTAGACTAAGTGGTGCCCAAGAGGAACAAACACGAGAGAACCAGACAGGTCCTAGACCAGGAAGAGGGTGTGTTGATCATATCTTCATCCTTCCACAGATTCTGGAACATAGGCATACTTACCGGCGTCCAACAATCGTCATATTTCTTGACCTATAGGCGGCATTCGATTCTGCCAGCAGAGAGTTACCATGGCGATGTTTGGCTACGAAAGGAATGCCGAGAAAATACATTGCACTGATCAAGGCACTCTGCTCGAACCCATGCAGCCGCTTGAGAGCCTACTGCGAGTTGTCATCTGAAGTGGTGACAACTAGTGGTGTCCGACTGGGATACCCACTATCCCCATTTCTATTCAATTTCATCATAGGTGTACTAATCGACTTAACCCTAAGTGACTTCAGGGACTCAGGGATTGACTTGTTACCACGGAATAATGTCGTTGACTTATAATATACACGCAGATGATGTAGCCCTTGTAGTCGAAAATGATAAAAAATGAAGAGTCTTCTGAGCACCTTGAGCTGCAATCTTCGGATGTTCGGTATGCGATTCGCTCCCGTCAAATCTAAGATGATGCTACAGGACTGGACTGGACTAGACTACATTGACTGACTCTTAGCTTAAAGATAGGGAGGTGGTGTAGTGCTTGGTAGGGAGTGTTGACCACTTCATTTATTTGGGGAGTTGCATCAGACAGTCCCATCATCTGATTAACGGCTGATGAAATCTCAGCACGGATACAGAAGGCTCGTCTCGCACATGTCAGTTTGCTCCATCTCTGGCTTAGACGTGATATCCGGCTATCGACCAAAGGGCGTGTGTACTGCTCAGCAGTTCGCTTTGTCCTCCTATATGGATGGTTGTGAGACATGGTCACTGAAAGTGGAAGACATGAAAAAACCGGCCAGCTGTCTCTGGACATAGGTGTCTACGTTCTATTCCCGTGTTAAGTGGTATAACAGGGTGAGCAATATTGAGGTTAGGCGTCGGTGGACTGCTAGGTAAGGAGGGTAAATCAATCGACAACGTTGTGAAGTTACATATACTGAGATGGTTAGGACATGTGTTATGTATGCCAAGGCATCGACCGAAAATGTTAGCTGACATAGGATCAAGTTGTAAAAGAGCTAGTGATGTTCAAGTCAAAACATAGCATCAGTCAATGAAATCTACAGCAGTTAGTTTAAGCCACCGACGTAGGGAGGTGTAGAATGGCTTCCTGGTTGAGGTCCTCGGGATGGTAAGAACCAATGGTGGCTGGATATGGCTGAAAATCGTTCTCAATGATTGGTGCATGTGTATCTACTCCCTGTGATTTACGACATTCAATAAAACTATATTGCTCTTCCATATTATTCTCTTTGTTAATGCCTTAAATGATGCACATATGCACACAATTAACACACCTACAAAGGAGGCAAAAGTACATTTATGAATATTTGACCCTTAAAACACAATTGAGTATACAAAGATGGACACATGTTAGTTCTCATTGTATTTCAACAGCTTTTGTTCCGTAATAATAACATTTTGGTGAAAAACAGATGAAAAGGGATATGTGATTTTTGGGGTAGGAATTATTCACTTAGGCCCACTTCACACATGCTCACAAATAATACACACGCACACTGAGAAAATACACACCTTTTGTTAATTCATTCATTCACGTGTCTAAATCAGACATATAATTGGTTGGAATTGGACCAATGAAATTCAAGAATCACTATTCTTTTATTCTATTAATGGACGAATTACAACATAATCTGGCTAATATGCCGAGATATGCATACTTGTGTGTATGCGTGTCAATTAGATTGTCACAATACCATCATGTCGTAGAAGTGGGGATCAATTTTCGAAACAATGAATAAATGCTACTGCTGTCATCAGAATTATTTTAACTATCATTTACTCATTAACACATACATATTTATAAAGTTCGGATTATAAAATCGCATTCACTTCAACTTTAAACGCATACCGTTTGTTCTTTTCACAATAAACTATATGTTGGATATTTAATCAACACAACTCATGCTGGATATTATTTACACGCCATCTGGTGAAAACTGTCAACCAAGCACCACAATGACACTGATGCATACTTGATTTGTATGCATCGTTATATGCAAAAGCATGTGAAGTCATGAATTTCAAACTGAAACACAAGTAAAACAGCAAAGTGAAGAAAAAGGAGAACGCATAAGAATTTAAACAAAGACTCAACAGCTAACAACACCAGAAAGAAAACACCCTGTCATCTAAAACACAATGAGTACATCACCAGTCACTCCAGTAAACAGTGGCAGTATGAATCAAAGCATGGAATCATTGCCATTGCCTTCAACTCCAATTGGAAATAGTATGATTATTATAGGCGTTTTTCTAGCTAGCGTTTGTATTGGTACAGTTTTGGGTAATCTGTTAGTTGTTTTAGCTATTGGTTTGGTGAAAAAATTACGAACGCCAAGTAATTTTTTAATTGTTAGCCTAGCTGTAAGCGACCTGCTCGTCGGCCTATTAGTTATACCACTTGCCACACTGAATGAAGTACGTGGTTACTGGCCATTAGGTGAAGGCATGTGTGATATGTACATTTCCTTTGATGTATTAATGTGTACAGCGTCAATTTTAAATTTATGCGCTATATCAATTGATCGATATTTAGCTATTACACGCCCTTTACAATATGCTGCTAAACGTACACCGAAACGTATGATGTTAATGATATTATTAGTATGGTTATTTTCAGCTCTGATTAGTATACCACCAATGTTTGGTTTTAAAGAACCATTTGTACCTGGTGTATGTCAATATAGTTCAAATATGATATATCAAGTTTATGCTACATGGGGTGCATTTTATATACCACTAATCGTAATGCTTGTATTATATGGACGTATATTAATGCTGGCGCGTCATATGGCACAAGCAGATGCTAAACAAAAGCTCGTCACAGAATCTGTAACAAAATCGTCTACATTCAATCATACACAATATAATGTACACAGTTCACTTGAAAGTGATAATAATAATGAACAGTTGAAAATTGAACAATTTCAAAGATTAAACCAATCTACAGATTATAAATCTAATGGACAAATAAATAATCTACAGCATAATAATAGTATGCTGACTAAAGAGAAATATCCTCTGCCTCCATCCGAATTATGCCGACGGCGGAAACCCCGTCCATTGAGAAGATTTAGTTATCATGGTGAAGGTAATCAAAAATCGTCAGATATGTTGACGACACAAACAGTCAGAAAGCCCCGTGTTGTCTCTGAAAGTTCTTCTATGCTCTCGTCTGTTGAACAATTTGAACAGCGTGTTAAAGAGTTAAGACAGTTGCGAGCAGAGTTTTTCGCTGCACCGTATACACGACACTCGATTAGTATTAATTTAGCACATTTAAAAAATCGAAGTAATCATAAAAAAGATGAAAATTTAAATTTCGTAACTGTATCAGATCATACTGCTAATGACAATAATAATAACATTACTAATCAACCGATGACACCGATGTCTAAAAATGACACATTTCAACTAACTGATACAAATCGATCAAGAAATTCAATATTCTCCCCACCACTACTTTCGATTTCGCATTATTTTGATGAATCTAGTCACATGAATAGTTTATCTCAGATTTCTGAAGCTGCTCCAAATCTGTACACACCCAACGCTGTCAACTGTGACAAATACAGCAGTAATCTTATTAGTCCTGAGGAGATAAGTTGTAATATAATGATGTCATCACAGGAGACTACACCACTGATAGTCAATGGGATGGGTAAATTTTCCACTTCAGCGACAACAGTTAGCGGTAGAAGAGATGTTTATTCCCCACCTTCATCTTCCGGTACACCACCATTATCGACAAGGTTAGTCGCGACTGGACTTAACCAACCACAACCACCAACAATGTCAATGCATGTAGCACGACCACGGCAAAGACCCTTTCATACACCTAGAAGATCGTTCACCACGGCGAATGAATACTTGCACAAAAATCGTCCATTTCTCCTAGGTTTACCTGATTATACAATTGATCGACGATGTAGTACACCGTCTACTTCGCATAGTTTCCCCTGGAATCAGATTACTGGTCGTCATGTTAGAAAGGATGTACAACATTCACTGGGACAAATGACAAATACACGAACTACAACGACTACGACCACAATGACTAATGATAATAACAATAATAATAGTAATAATGCTGATAATCATGGTAATATTACAAGAGCTAGTAATACGCTACAGCGTAAAAAATCCTCTGATTACGATCAAATATCAAATTTTAATGTGACATCACATCAGGGCAGTCGTACACCGAGTTGGGCATTTGCTAAATTGCCAGTGAAAAAACGCCACTCACGTCATCAAAATGAATCGAAGGCGGTTAAAACACTTGGAGTTATTATGGGATGCTTTTGTCTATGCTGGTTACCATTCTTTATTATTGCTGTGAGTTTCTTAAATAAATTTCTCCTGATTACACTGATAAATAATTCCATCCTTTTTTCATCTCATTTGAATTTATTTTCTACTGATATACTTTTGGTGTTTTTGTGTGTTGATTTCTTCATTTTACTCAGTTTCACACTTTTCAAAAAAATGGACTTTCACCTTGCGTGACCTTGATGACTTACCAAAACTTAAGTATTACAGTGTTTCACAACTTAAGTGTTAATAAATTTTCGTCTGGAAGTTTAAACTGAAAAAATGACGAGATAAAAAATCGTAAACAAAATTCAGTGTATCAGTGAATATTTAACAAGTGAAACATTGAACCCATTGAATCCGTTCAAAGGACATCGTGTACTTTACTGTTTTCCTCCTATCCTCTTACATTATTAGTAATAGTAAACATGGAAAATGAAACGAAACAAAATCGAAGGCGAAGATATTACTCTCAATTCGGTGTCTGGTGACTAGTAGGAGAATCTAGGATGCACATTTCGTACTATCTATGACTCGTCAGCTAGATTTACCTGCAGTCCTCACTGGAAGCATGATTACTCACTGGAGATTCCAAGCACATCTGAATGATGAGTCTCAAATAGGACGAAATGCTCATCCTGGATTAGACTGTTAGTCAACATCTGCCAAATAACATGTGTTAATCCTCAGACATCGTTGAAGCGTTTGTACTAGGAACCGGCAAGTCAACAGAGATAGAACATTTCGGTCCAATGTAATCAATCAGAGGGAAAGGGCTGTGTGCTATACATTCACTGACTTGACGACTATGTGTAATAAATACTAGGCGATCAAGGTAACACTAAGTTGTTGGTCTACAGCCTATTCGTTTAATCTAGATTGGACGTGTAGTCAGCAGTGTGTTGATTAGATCTGTTTACAGTATTTACGTCTTATATTCTGCTAGTAAGGTTTCACACTGTTATTTTTTAAATGGTATCATAAACGTTAGATAAAGATTCTCTTATCAACTAGATTTTGACAGTATTTATTTATTTTCATTTTTATTGGCTGAAATTGTTATCTCATGGAAAATGTTTTTTTTTACAAAAAATAGCCGATATGAGTAAGATAATGGGTGTAAATTAAAAAGAGCACTGTAATTCCTCAGCCATGAACACATCGAAGACTCCACTGACTGACTGCAGTTTCTGTTGATTCAATGAAGGCCACAACCTAGTGGTCGAATAGTCACATACTCCCCTTATGATCTCTGATGACTCTAAAGTGATAAATTAATGAACATTGCTGAAAAGTTCCCAACTAGGATACAACAGCTTTCTGTCTTCACTTCCTATTGGTATTCACTTTCCCCCCTCTAAATGATTTTAGTTTGTAGTGAAAATGATCGCGAAATCAGTCAAATTCCTTCAGATGCGAAGTCTGAGATTTTTGTACTATGAAAAATAAACAGTATTTTGTAAAAAGCATTTTAACTGGTAAATTGTAGAATCGAGGTGTGATTCCTTCCATTTAAGACCGAATATACCTGCATCCTAGCAAGTGGACAGTGTTTCAACTGGGACTCGAACCAAGCACTCATCAGTTCAAATACTATAAAGTTGTTCCATGGAAATCATTCACTCACATCTACCTAAAAATTAAACAACTGAAAGTCCAAAATTCAATAAATAACAAGTGTGGTGATTGGAAATTTGATACAACACTGTTTGTTCACTTGGCAGATGTAATAAAAATTTTTATTTCTACTACTGCAATTACATGATAGCTTCCCATATAATGTGCATTGAATTACTTTAATGCTAATCAACTTGTTGACCACACGGTAAACATGATCATCATCAGGTCATCGGTAGTTGAAACTGAACACTTTGTAATGACCAGTAGGTGCAACTAACTGACTAATTAACTACAATAGGTAGTTGACACGTGGAATAATTAAATGATAACATCGTCGCTTTCAGTAAATCTTCACGTCTCTCGAGGTAATAATAGCTGACTATTAATGATCAGTGAATGATTAATGTAAAGATTCTCTGTCTAGAATTTGCTTACAGACTTCTCAGTTATCCAAAAACATACGTCTTTTATGTTGAGAAAACATTAGTCGGTAGAAAAATGTAGTCACATTCACTCGCTAGTAGCTCCCTAGTAACCAGTCAGTGTATCCATCACAGGTGGTTTAAGCTCAAGTGTGAGCTCAGTGATAACCTATTTAACTGCAGCACACTTGATGACATAGGTTAGAATACCTTAGGGGAAATCAGTTCCTTTGACGTCGTGGATACACCATGGTAATATCTCCCAGTAACCACGAAACCTAAGTAAGATGGGGCTTCCCATCAATTGTTTTCAATCGCCTAACATACATTACGACTTCCTTATTATGAAAAGATTGCATCATTGGCTTGTGTGTACGGATTTCTTTCGGCTATGATAGTTTAATTCTTTAGATCATTAAAACATGATCAGCTGAATGAAAACAAACTGTCCAATAGGTATTTGATTCATTAACTAATTCATACGGTAATATTGAAAGAAGAATTCGGCTGTGTTATTCTAACCATTGTGTAATAATATGTGAACATTTTATCCATCTAATTAAAAAATACTCACTATTCCACATAAAATGAATGACGTCATCAGAACACAAAGGAGTAACAATGAATGGGATATTTCGCTCATTATTTCGGTTGAAAAAAAAAATAAATAAAACAAAATACATCAACAAACCAATTTTTATTCATTACACACACACACACACACAAAAATACAAGTTTATTCACTCTGTTTACATAATATATTAAAATATTAGAGCATTAAGAATGGAATTTCTTTAAAATTATAAAGTGAACTGGAACTTATTATTGTTATTCCACTGCTTTTATGTTAGATGGTGACACGATTTTACATGAAAAAGTAACAATTCAAAATGTTAGTCCTTTAGGGCGTTCGTTACTGTTTCCAACTGTTCCCTGAAATCTAAACTGAAGTGTTTACTTTTATTCTGTCCGTGTAGGTGTTTACGTCACTTTCTTTAAAGCTACAGATCCTGAGTTTGAACTCAAGTCCAGCTTCTTCTGTCAAAACAACTGGATCATATTACATGAAGTATAACTTACTGCCTAGTGTACAAACTTGTAAGAGATTCACTGATACATATAACTGAATACACTGTAGCTAGTCCTAAGTTATATTATCAATCGTTCCTGGCGTTCCAAATGGAACATATAGTTCCAGTTTGGTTCTCTGCCATCATTTTCAGCTTGCTCCATGACCGCTCACAAGTTTTCATTTTCTTCTCACAGTCACACTAAGACACCTAACCCCGCTCATTCTGGTTCCACTCAAGGGTCTGGAGTACAGTGCCACTTGGAGTATGTCTAATCCATATCTATCTCATTCGGCATTTTTTCTGGGCAATCAGTTTTTGTCTGGTTCGCTGATTGCTAGAGTTTCTTGTTGCCTATCCTTTCCCTACTGGCCATCAAGTAATTGTGATCTGAGTTGAGTTTCGCTATCATCATTTTGAAGGAGATTGGTTCCCAGTGCCTGACGGCTTTCGATGCTGTTGGTTACAACACGATGGCCATACTGTCAGTGTGCTGGTGATTGTTGTTTACATGGCCGGAGTAAATTATCAGATCTCTATTCCATTCAGTCTTACAGATTCCTGAGATTTCCATACCATATTTTCTCATTTCTTCTGCATTATGAGCAATCTTACTAACCTTAAACATGGTGTGGGCATTTCGATTGCTTTTGCTTACTTTCGCCTTCTTGAAAAGCAGACACATTAGTCAGCTGGCTACCTGAAGGCCTTTTTCACCCGCAGGCGTTGTCCGTCCTCGGAGTGGGGAGTCTTCCCGGTTACAGTAGAGAATAAGTTTATTTCCTCTGTGCTTTGAAACTTTAGTAACGATGGTGGGGTTGCTACACCAAGGCTTCCTTCTTTTTCCGGCTTAGGACTGGCTAGTAGACTTGGTGGGAGGGGGTTAACGTATACCAATTCACATTTATTCCTGAACTATACTTTATCAATTACTACTACTGTCCATACTGTTTTAATAGATAATTTAGACTACTCAGATGTATCTGTTCACCTAACTCATTATACTGGCAATTTTGGGAGACTTAGTTAAGCGTAATTATGTAAGCTATTCAGATCAACTGAAATAAATAAAGATGCCTGATAGCACAAATCCATGACAGACTGATGAATAGGAATTCTTTTAGCACTTGGTCATTGATGAGTTGCAGTGAAGAAGGAAAAAGCATAAAGTGAACACTACGTCTGGACAACAGAAAAACAGAAAAAACAACTAAATTACATCCCAGTGACACAATCATCAGGTATTAATTAGTTAAATGTGGTATACTAGTCGTTACTTGGGGAAATACACAATGACTCATATCATAATTTTTGGTTTACATGTAGATATGCCTATTTCTTTTCAAAGATCTTTTTCACTACATTATCTCTCTCTTTTTCTTGTTTCCTTTATCCCTTTGTTGAATGAGTTATTCATAGTAAGGTACTTATATTTCTTTCAAATACTACTGTGACAGATTCCTACTGATTGTTACGTAATATACATGGGGTATAAAAGACTGCTGATCTAGTCCCTTTTTCAGGTTCTATAGGGAAAGAAAAGTTGTCATTTTTAGGCGTTTGTTCACTTCTAAATGTTTTCATCAGTGCTTCTTCTTAAGATTATAATTTTTAAAGCAAAAAGTGAAAAAAACACCTCACACTGCACAAATGTTAAGAAGTGATCTCTTCAGCATGCACAGATGAATGTTATCGAGGATGGAAGTAAAATCGAGTCATCAGCTGGAGAACACTTTAAAATATAACCAGTCTTCAGTGTGATTCATTTATAATGTAGTGTAAAGATACTAGGATGGAGAGCAGACAAGTAAATGAGAAAGGATGATACATGTAAATATTATTATTTTTTATTTTAATACTTTGCGTTTCGAGCGGAACATAGGACTTCTAGCTTGAGTTTTGATGCTTCAGT